TACCTACAGTACATTTTCACCGGAAAGGGTACGTACTGAGTTTAGCACCCGTGTTTCGACGTGCTCCTTAATTAGGTTTGCTACGGTAACAGAAATAGGACTTCCCATAGGGCACCCTTCGATTTGATGGTAAACCGTGTTGGCGAAACTGAAGTACGTTTGATTCAGGCAAAACCGCAACAAAATTATAATATCCTCCACAAGTAAGGACGTACGACTCTCCAAATTACAATCTTCTTTCAAACGCGCCTCTACATAATCGATAGCCAGACCAATGGGGACATTCGTAAACAATGAGATAACATCAAAAGACACCATCACATCGTCATCATCAAGCTGCTGCGTACGGTCTTCGGTTACAAAATCGCGAGAGTTTCTAACCGACCTTGAGTTGTCCTTAGTTAACGGCTTCAGCACTTCAACCAAGAACTTCGACAGGTTGTAAGTTGGTGAACCTACAAAAGACACGATAGGACTGAGAGGGCAGCCCTCTTTATGCACCTTAGGTAGCCCGTAGATGGTTGGAGTGGCCCCGTCCGAAGAAAACAGTCGGCGGTACAACGTTTGATCCAAACGTCCTTTGTTACGTAGTACCCGTAAATGTTCAACGAGCTGGCGCTCTGACTATGCTGTCGGGTCACGGTTCAGCTTCATAAAGTGCGAGGGATCGTTCAAGATGCTGTACATTTTCTCCTCATAATCCTTTCGATCTAGCAACACAGTAGCCTTTCCCTTATCTGCCGAAAGGATAACGATAGATTTATCTGATTTGAGATCATTTAGCGCCGTGCGTTGCCCAGCGGTAAGGTTCGACCGAGTGCTTTTTGCATTCGCCAGGACACTTACAATTCGGCTACGAGCCAAGTTTACCCCAGTTCTATCCTGGATATGCCGCAACTTCTCCTCAACCTCCACGATGATATCACGTTTGGGCACTTTCCGTGGGGCAATTGCAAAATTCAGGCCCTTCGACAATGAGCTCATGTGGTTGTCCGATAGACGTTTCGAGGAAACGTTATGCAGTGCTTCTAAACTATCCTGTTCTGGCCGATGGCGAGGTAACAACCGGGACAACTTCTGGCGATGGACTTCGGTGCACTTGCCTCTTTCCAAATCTTCAGCTTGTTTGCGCGCCCTGATGATATCGCGGAAATCATTGGGACGAAGCCTAGAGCGGAGACAGGTTTGCGCTGCGTACACACGACGTCTTACTCGCTGTATTTCTTGCTTGTTATCCTGTATTCTGGCTTTTCGGCAGTTGCAGCTGAAGTTCCGCGCGAGCGTGCGGCCGTAGGAGTGCTTGAAGTGCTGAAGCTGTTAACTGAGGACAACTCTAGGTCGGTTAGAAACTCTCGCGATTTCGTAACCGAAGTCCGTACGCAGTAGCTTGATGATGACGATGTTATGGTGTCTTTTGATGTTATCTCATTGTTTACTGATGTCCCCATTGGCCTGCCTATCGATTATGTAGAGGTGCGATTGAAAGAAGATTGTAATTTGGAGAGTCGTACGTCCTTACTTGTGGAGGATATTATAATTTTGTTGCGGTTTTGTCTGAATCAAACGTACTTCAGTTTCGCCAACACAATTTACCATCGAATCGAAGGGTGCCCTATGGGAAGTCCTATTTCTGTTACCGTAGCAAACTTAATGATGGAGCACGTCGAAACACGGGTGCTAAACTAAGTACCCTTTCCGGGGAAAATGTACTGTAGGTACGTAGATGACACTTTTGTAATTTTGAAAAGAATTAACCTAGATGCTTTCCACGTGGCGCTGAACAGCCTACACCACGCCATTTAGTTCACGTACGAAACAGAGACAGATAATGCGTTGCCTTTTTTGGATGTGTTGGTACGCCGGCCCAGTAATGGCTGTGTGGAAACGACGGTGTACCGTAAGCAGTGTGACACCGGAAATGTTTTGTCCTTTGACTCGCATCACCCGACCGAACAGAAACGGTCCGTTGTAAGAACCTTTTTATCACATTGTGATGCAGTGTGCTCTAACAAGCAGCTACGGTTGCAAAAGGTAGAAATTGTGGTTGGTGCGTTAGAGCGGCGCCATTATCCGAGGACATTTATTAACGATACGCAGAGGCGAATGCAGAGGGGAAGGGGGAGTGAGTCACGAGTGCGGGCAACGTCTATTGTATCTATTCCCTATGTCCAGGGCGTGTCAGATGCTGTTCGGAGAGCTTTGCGCCCGCTGGGCGTACAAACTGTTTTTAAACCACATTAGACCTTAGCGAATGTGTTCCCGAAACCGAAGGACCGCACCTCTGCAGACGGTCAGAGGAGGGTCGTATACAAAGTGCAGTGCGGGGATTGTGACGCGACCTACATCGGCGAAACGGGCAGAAAGAGGGCAACGAGATTGAAAGAACACAAAAGGGACGTTGCCAAGGCCACCCATGCCGCGCGGCCCAGGACGGAACTTGTCGAACACTGCTGGACGACAGGACACAGTTTCGACCTCTACAATGCGACGACGCTGGCCCGAGAACAAAGGTGGGGGCAAAGAAAATTCGTCGAGTCCTGGTTCATTCGCCGTGACTCATCGGTATGCAACACCAACCGTGGCCCCCTGCCGGACGTTTACGGGGACGTGTGTGATAAGTAGACTGGTCGACCTCACCTCATTTGTGTCAGTGTATACTGAAGATGCCACCTGCATAGGTGGCGAAACATCTGTACCTTTTGTTATTAATTTGTTATGTTAAGTCGGAGTAAACCTTTTCAATCATCCATTACCATTGAAGATAATATTACAAATTAAACATTTCAAACACAGATACAGTGCATCTCAGCACCACACACCCCGCTTCCCCCATTCCCATTCTATTGTCTTGGTATCCCACAAGCTCAACATGCACAGCAATAGCACCGTCCTCTTTACAATTGGATAGTGGAACACTTCACTTGTTGCATTTCGCCTTCAACTCGAGATTCCCTTAAAGGCCGACCAACAAGCAGAGACAAAAGAAACTTTTTCTTGATTTCCTTTTTCCATCCAAAAAAGGATAGCCATCCTCCTTGCGGTGGAGGTTAGCTTCCAGACCTGCTCTTTTTGGGTGAGGAGGGCAAATCGCAAGAAGAAATGGGGGAAAGGACATTGGGAGAGGGTCTTTCTTCTTGCAGAAGATGCTTCGTGCGCGTCGGGGGCTTTGAGTTAGTATGGTCATAACGCAGTCTTATGTAGCCAGCCTGATGGTGACGGATGTTACGACATCTGCCCCATTTCCTACATAAACCTGCATGCTACTGCACTATTTCTTTGTCCTACTAGCTCTACAAACGTTGTTAATCATTGCTTGGCAAGAGGAGCTATTACTCCTTTCCTAGCTTCATGGGACGCACATTGCCACATGGTACCCGGGGAAGGCAGAATTTGGTGCTGCAATGGCCAGCCTGTGATGAAGCAATGTCAAAAGGCAATGAACCAGGAACATCCGCAGTCTTAGAAAAGTCTCTCCTTCCGACGGATTATAAATATACTTTCAGCAAGCAACTGAAAAGTGGTGTAGAATCGGCAAGCCTCTCATGGCTGCGACAGCAGGGAAAGAGGGGCGAGATAAACAATGGTCATTTAGAATCGGAAAATTTTTATTGAATCAAAGACATCACTGCTTGCTCTGAGCTTTTTACCATGTATCTAAAGTAGGTTAGTATATTTAATGAAGATTTCAATGCGGGCAAGAGCCTTATGAAGAGCTGTGAGAGTGAGAGCATCGGCTTCATGAAGGCCAGTGAGAGTTTCATATCTCATTCCTGTGTCCGTCTTTTTCCCTCGGAGCGACCCAGTCCTTGTTAGTGTAAGGCAGAATGTGGTAAGCATTTTTTTATCTGTATCTTGTACCTTAATAGGTATTGTTTAATCTGAAAGACCTGTAATTTAGAAATAATTACATTGTCAAAATTTGTATCGGCATACATATCTAAGTAAATAAATATATTTTTTTTTAAAAACGTCCTACTTTAGACAAAATGATATCCTTCAAAGTAAAGGGCGGTCCAGATATCGGGTCGAGACTTAAATAAACCACAAAAAAAATTGGATTTGTAAGCTACGACTCTGACTTCATACATAAGTTTGGCTATGGTTTTATTTGTAAAAATATCTAAACAGTGCTAGCCTCAGTGAAACGTTACAAAACAAGAAACTTCGTATGCATTCCAATGAAAGCAAAAAAGCATTGTTGTCGGCCATAGGGACCTTAGGTCGGCCCACAGAACTTTTTTTTTGTTATTTGTAACTTTTTATCGGGTGAATCCATCACCCAGTTGGTCTTTTGTGGTGAATTTGTGTCATAGTTAACAAAAAAAAAATTTGCGATTTATCTAAGTCTCGGCCCGATATCTCGAAGGCATTGCTCACATCGTATCTCGGTATTTTCTCTATTGTTCAAGGTACTCCTTTGCTACCGCATTTTCGATACTGTGCTTCCGGCTCTCGTGCAGAGACCACTTCAGGTATATCTTATCTTTAGCACGGGGAACACCTGAGGTTCAGAAGCAACCATGCCATTGGCGCAAGAAACTGGCCGCTCTTTATCTTTCTTTTTGTCGCAGGAAGTATTGCAAAAAATATCACAGCGACTATTTCTTCAGGGAATGTGATTAGGATCTTATGATTTCCAAAACAGCCGTGGTAGTGACTGTACAAGCAAAACGTACGGTGTGAACGTGCGACCGGAACTTAATCTCAGCCCACGTCAAACACGGGCATCTTTTCAACTGAAGCTGCCGTGCTCTCTCGCGGCGTTTACACTCCACGTGCGACTGCAGCTCACCAGACATTACTTTGCAACCTTTGCAACGTATCAGTCGCTTAGGAATACAACTAAAAGTACAGCCCGTGACGCAGCCACGTGTAAGGCGCCTTTTCTCTGAACGCAATGCTCCCGGCTAGTTCAAGGCACACTAATAGAAAATCGTTAAACTTCCACAAAACGTTCGGTCGGGATGGCCTGGACAGCCGGCTGCGAGGATTCCTCTTACCGCCACACACGCTCCCGATGAAAGGTGTGCCACAACGGGTGTTCTCTTCTTCAGCCATTGCTATCGGTCGGCGGAAAGTGATGAAAAGAAGCATACAACGCTGCTAAATCCACTGGCGCGAGTAACAGTGGACGCGAGGTTGTAGGTTTCTTTTCCTTTATTAATCCTTTGTTATTATTTTTTTAAATACACAATCGTTGCTTGGACCCATAGCCGTGGAGGCTAGTCGCGGGTCCAACATTAGAAATAACCTTTACAATGCGGCAGGCAAACAAAACAAATGTACGCACACATCAAAGTATTCACAAAACAACACACATACTAATTGAAAAAATATATAGGGCATGATATTGAACTTATTCATTGGCTTGCAATTTAATTAAATACTTCTTTAAGGATGGCAATATATTGTGTTTACATTTGATGTCGGTAGGGATATCATTCCATACCAGGGCACCGTTGAATTCAATAAGCCTTTCTCCATAAACATTTCGACAAGATGGCAAATTAAACAGAGTATTTGTTGCAGCTCTCGTATTCCGTAATGGTAATTTAAATATCTGTAATGGGAGTGGGTCGTTAGTTTTTATTATTTTAAAGACTGTTTCAGCTATTTTTAAGTTGTATAGGAGGTCTAGTGGCAGCACACCAACTGATCGAAATAGAGGACCACTTGGTTCGGTATATCTAGAATAAGTAATGAGTCTCATAGCCCTTTTCTGCAATCGACTGAGTGGCTCTAAACACGTGGTGTATGTTCCGCCCCAAGACTCTATACAGTAATTCAAGTGACTATGTACAAATGCAAAGTATAGAATGCGCAGTATAGACGAATTAAAAAACTCCCGAGCCTTTAGTAGTGTGTAGCATCCGTGTGCAAGTCTTGTGCTTATGTTTTTAATTTGATTCTTCCAATGCATATCGGTTTCAAACAAGACACCCAAATATTTGTAACAGGAAACATGCAGCAACTGCACGTTATCGAAGTATATAGCTAGTTCAGAATTTGTTTGCCTTCTCCTAGAATGAAACACAGTGTACTTAGTTTTTTTTATGTTAAGTGTGAGTTGGTTACTAGTGAACCACGTTAAGACCCTTGGTAATTCTTCATTTATTTTACCTTGTGGTTTACTTATTGTGTCCCCGACAAAAACTAATGCCGTATCGTCTGCATACATGAGTGCTTCAGACTGACATAAAACAGAAGGAAAATCATTGACGTAGAGAGAAAAAAGAATGGGCCCCAAAACAGAGCCTTGTGGTACCCCTGTAAGCACTGTTTGTGGTGTAGAGATAAAATTATTAATCGTTACACATTGTGTTCGTTTAGAAGGATAACTTTGAAATAACTCTAATATCTTTCCCCTAAAACCGTACTCACGAAGCTTGTTCAATAGTATTTTGTGATTAACTGTCTCGAAAGCCTTACTTATATCCAAATAAACAACCACAGCAATTTTATTTTCATAAAGAGCCTTGTTAAGAAGCTGAGTTAACACGAGTACAGCGGAAGAGGTAGATCTGTTCGGCCTAAATCCGTGCTGACTAGGGCAGAGAATACTGTACTTACTTATAAAATCCTGAATGTGTTTACAAATTATTTTTTCAAAAATTGTATTAATTACACTTAATACTGATATTGGTCAATAACAAGACGGCTCGGAAGTATCTCCCTCTTTAAAAATGGGCACAACCCTTGCTATTTCGAGCTCATCGGGATATATTGCGCTTTCCAGTGAATGATTAAACAAGCGTAGAAAATGAACGCCTAAAATGTCTATATTATCTTTTATTAATTTTACTGGAACGGTATCGAGCCCGGCCGATTTGTTTACTCGAAAACTTCTAATTGTAGACGTAATTGCAGTCATCTAATTTTCCTGTATGACAAAGGTATTAACAACCGAAGCCGTTAACCTCGTGGAAACTATCACATGTGGCAACTGTGCTGCTAGGAGAGGACCTATGTTCGTAAAGTAGTCATTAAAATTGTCTACCATTTCCTGGTTGGCTAGTTCGGGTTGCACACGTCGATCTGAGCGAAGGCCGAGTGCGTGATTAACTATATCCCAAATCTTTTGTGCATTCCCGTCGGCCTGTTCGATAAGAGAGGAGTAATATTGCCGTTTCCTTTTCCGCATAAGAGAAACAGATGCGTTTCTTAATCGCTTAAATTGTCCTAGATAATATTTGTTGCTTTTGTTTTGTTTCCATTTACGATAGCAGCTGTCTTTCTCTTTCAGTACGCCTAAAATTTGACTCGTCATCCAAGGGCAGACCGGCTCTCCATATCTGCTGTTTGTCCTACTTTCAGCGCTCTGAATTGCTGCGTTTTTAAGAGTATGAACAAAGTTTTGATATTCATTGTTGATGTCATGATTATACAAAGCATAAAAATTTGTTTGTTCTAATATACTTCGAAGTAGGACATAGTTTACCTTGGTGCGTATTTTAGGACAAAGATTCGCATTCACAGACGACTGGTTTCGCAAAACAACAAAAATAGGCAGATGGTCCGCTATTGGATCAGAGTAAACTCCGGCACACACACCGCTATCGATGTTACAAAGCGCGTGATCGATCAACGTACTCGAAGTACTGGTAATACGAGTGGGTTCACGTATAATATTGTGTAAGCTAAAGGATTCGAGAAGTAGAGTATAATCATTGTGCGTATCCCATGCCAAGTCAATATTAAAATCTCCAAGGATTACAATGCGGCCGGTATGCTTATGAGTTATTTGTACAAGAACCGATTCCAATTTGTCTAAGAAAGGTGTCATTGCGGTGCTTGAAGGACGGTACACTACTCCAATTATTAGACTACAAGGAAGTTTAATAAAAAGTGCTTCAATATGTTCATCACTGATAGAGGCAGTATGTACAACTTCAAAGACAATGTCCCCTTTCACAAAGAATGCAACGCCACCTCCCCTTGTACGTGCGACCCGTGGAAGGGAGGAAAATATATACCCGGGTATAAGAGCCGTTTCAGTATTTTGAAGCCATGTTTCACTTACAGCAATTATATCATATGCTTGTTGGTGCCGTGAAATACATGCAAGTAGTTGATTTAGATTTTTTCTTAGACTGCGTACATTGCTATGAAACAAAGAAAAAGAATCACGGTTTAGCATTAAATTGTCAACCTGTTGGAAAGTGTAAGGCATAATGATCCTAAGAACAAAGAACAAGGTGCTAGCATTAAGACGACTACACAACTCTCGCAAGGTCACCTTCACACGTCACCTGCAGCACAGGAGAGTTTTCACACTTCCGCATGAAAATCTTGCCTTGTCTCACCCAAACAAATTTCCAGTTCTTGTCTCGCCTCTCCTGGCGAGCCTTACTTAGCAAAGTCTTATTCTCAACACAAAGATGTTCATTTACGTACAGTGGGTCGTTTGCCTCGAAGCCTAGAAGACTTGTGTTGAGTTTCGTCTTCCTGGCCGCACACAAAAACTTGTCACGTACTGTGCGCGAGGAAAACTTTACCACCACATTCGGCTTCCCTTTGTCCTTTGACTGGACTCTATGCACTACATCTATATCTCGCTCAGAAATCTCGGCGCCTAGACAGGTCGCAATTTCTCCCACAACCTTCTGCATGTTTTCGTTCGGAAGAATAGGTAGCCCTTTAATTTCGAGATTCATGTTTCTAGAATATTGCTTCAGTTCTACGACTTCTCCTTTGACGTCACAGAGTTCTTTGCTTAGTTGCTGGTTTCCTCTTTGGTTCTGAGTGCATTGGACCTTTACTTCCGATAGTTCTCCACGGAAGCCCCCGACATCTTTTTTTAGTTGTTCGACATCCGCGTTCAAAAAGGTGAGCGATGATCGTATACCGACCTGCTCAGCGTAGATTTCATCATTCGAGCTCTTTACCTTCTCTACGTCACTTTTTATGTCGGTCAAAAATGCGTCAAGTCGAACTATCAGGTCATTCAGAACCTTAACAACTTCCTTGATGCTATTTGGCTGTTTCTCACCTATGGCTTTCACCACATCATTCAGACTTCCGGGATTTCTTTCCCCCATAACCAACGATCAGTACTACAGAAAAGCAAACTAGAATCACACAGCACAAGTTGATATGCGGCACGACACGTATGGCAGCAACAGCGACAGCACTTCGAAAATCGCACTTTTAGAATAAACATGGAAAAACAAATCACCAACCTGTAATGTGCAGGAATGCTGCCGTTAGTGCACGTCCGTCCGCTGTCGCCGCCGCTGCCAAAGTGTGCGAAACACCCAGAGGCACCGCCCACTCGGAAGAGATAAGACGCTTGAAGTAGACGAAAATGTCCGACAGATGTCATGCTTGACGAGATGATCGAGGACTTGGAAATGTTCACTGTTCACGTCTCTGCTGCGGCCGAGGTCTCCCTCAGATCCGTCCGCGATTTTCAGGAACCAGCCGCAGAAGCCCTCCTCGATGATGATCCGTGAATGTGCGGCGAACCGACTGTAATGTACAGGAATGCTGTCGTTAGTGCACGTCCGTCCGCTGTCGCCGCCGCTGCCAAAGTGTGCGAAACACCCAGAGGCACCGCCCACTCGGAAGAGATAAGACGCTTGAAGTAGACGAAAATGTCAGGCTTGACGAGATGATCGAGGACTTGGAAATGTTCACTGTTTACGTCTCTGCTGCGGCCGAGGTCTCCCTCAGATCCGTCCGCGATTTTCAGGAACCAGCCGCAGAAGCCCTCTTCGATGATGATCCGTGAATGTGCGGCGAACCGACTGTAATGTACAGGAATGCTGTCGTTAGTGCACGTCCGTCCGCTGTCGCCGCCGCTGCCAAAGTCCAGCGCTTGACTTGCACGCGCACGCGCAGCAGCATTGACTCCGTTCCACAGGAGGTATCCAAGTACGAAGCACAGTACAGATTAAAATCCGCACGCAAAAAGAACGTAGGCACCAAACAATATGGGAAAATAAAATCGAACTTGCGTGCCCGCTCAGCTGCTCAGCTGACCACCGTGGCCACGCAACCGTTGCGCTCAGCCAATGGCCAAGCGCCAAGTGGTCAAGCGATGTTTGAAGCTTTCGATT